GGTTTTATATTCTGAGGGATATTAGAAGCTATGTGAGAGTTTGCATAGAGAGTGTTTATCCCGACACATAGGCACACATGTGGGGGCGGGGGTGGTGGGGGATAAAGAAGGAAGAACAAGTCCAGCTGGGAAACCATCACAGTAACTTGGGGGCGAGAGAACAGCGGCATGAACCAGGTGAATGGCAGCGGGGTTCATGAGATTTGGGACATTTAATTAGATCTGAGAAGGTTTCATGAAATGCATGTGATATAGAAGAGAAGGAAAATAACATCAAGAATGAAGCCACAACTTTCAGTTGGGATAACTATAAAAGCAAAATAGGCACCGAGATAGGGACAGGAGGTAGAAGTGGTCTAGAATTGTCTTGGGTATAGCGGTTTCTGTTAGTTTGCAATTGTTTGAAGAATTTCCAATTGGATACACAAAGTAGGTTAAAAGTGGAGTTCTAGAGAGAGTTTTTGCCTGGAGGTTATACACTTGGGAGGAGCCAGTGGGGTACAGTAGTTAAGTCATGAAACTAAGCATGCGCTCTAAGGGAGTCAGCTAAAGAGGAACGGGATGGAACCCAGGGATGCTCCAAAGATGGTCAGAGATACGAGATAAACCACTAGAAGAGATTGGGCAAATAAGCTCTTGCCAGACTGTGGCTGGCCTAAGGCACACTAGCAACTTGAGTTTAGGCTTCAAAAGCCACACACCTAGAAGAGGACAGAGATGGTAAGAGACCCATATCTGCTTGCATTAGAGAAGAATCTTGCAGGGTGATCCCTTCACAATAAGAACGAAGTAAAATCAACCCTCACATGTCTTCCTACTAGGACCATTTCTCACAGAATGGTAAGGTAACGTTTCTTGTTGAGCTCACCAAATACTGTTCCCCTAAATTAGCTTCTGCAGGTTGTCAGCTATCAGCTATCCTATACACCTGTAGCCTAAGTATCTACTACCCAGGTGATACAACAGCAGGGTCCTAAGTTGGTGGGACGTCTAGATGCATGATACAATCAAATGCAAACTCCTGAAACTAAAGGTTTCTTCTCTTCATGAAGGTCATTAGGGCCTCATGAACTTTTCCCAATCTTAAGGATTTAAGGATAATAAAAGGTGTATGAACACACACACACACACACACCCCCCAAGCAATCAAGCATGCTGTGGCAGGAGAGATGGATCAGTGGCTAAGAGCACTTGCTGAACTTCAAGAGGACCCCATTTCTATTCACAGCACTTACATCAGTGTTGGGGACTGTGGACCCCCAGACCCTGAAATTCCTGTGACCCCCCTGCCTGAGTAAACAGCTTGTCTGCAGCTGCTCTGAGCAGGAGCCCCCAGGAGTTCCTGATGGCAGGGGAGTGGTTTCCGGTGGGCTTGCACCCGAGAGTTAGGGCGTGGCCATTAGTCAGGAAGACCCTATATAAGCTACCCTGGAACACAATAAAGTTGGCGTTCTTGATTCAAGGGGGCATTCTTGTTTCAAGGATGACCAATTTCTCTCTCTCTCTCTCTTTCTCTCTCTCTCTCTCTCTCTCTCTCTCTCTGTGTGTGTGTGTGTGTGTGTGTGTTTCAATCCCCAGCCCCTCGCCTGGCTCGTGAACCATACTGTAGCGTGGAGCAGGTGTTGCATTACACATCAGCAGCTCATAATTCCCAGATTCTGACCTTTGTAGACATCTGCCCACATATGGGAAACACACACGAAATAAAGTTTTAATTAAAAAATAATCAAACATGCACAAACACAAAACAGAAAATTGTATCTTAAATAGCAAAAGTAGACTCAAGTGTAGGAATTATGTGACAGACAACACCAATAACTGCTTATTAAGCTCAAAGGAATAAAAGCAAAGACTAAAAATAGTAAATTATAATGGGAAACGTAATATATCAAAAGGAGCCAGAGAAATAAAAAATAACTACATTAACATGTAACTCAGATGGATTAATAATGTGTTAGACACAGCTAGGGAGACACTGTGAACTAAAAGATGATGGAAAAAAATGACTTAATTCCTAACAAAAACACGATGGAAAATATTGAAGACGGTAAGAAACATGGAAAGCCTGAGACTCGTAGGAGGAGATGGGAGAGAGGCTCAAGAGCCAGCAAGTAAGAGATAACGGCTGAAAACTGTCATTATCATGAACGAAACTACAACCTAACAATTCAAACCACTTAACCGCCCTTGACACATTCAACCAAAAGTATAATCATTACAATCTAAGTGCAAATTATTAGAAGCTAAGAGAAGGAATTTCAAAGGAGCAAGAAATGGAATTCTGGAAGTTGAGGGGGGGAGGTGGCAGTGGACCAGGTATAACTGACTATGTAGTAAAAGTCGTACAAGAATATGAGCAGTTTATATACACATCAAACACTTGAGGCTAAGGCTATTTCCTAATAACCTGCTTTGGACAGACATCTGCACTTAGATTTTCAATATTCACAATGAATCTTCTTTCCCTCAAAGGAAAGAAATAATAATTAAAAAGAATTTCCTAAAATTATTGGAGATTTTTTATTTTTTAATTTTCAGCTAGTGCTACATGACTACAGAGAAAGTCTACTGATGTGCCTACTTCAACCCTAATGAAAACACGTTAGGAAAGATATGGGTTACAGCTGCCACACAGAGCTTGGTTTATCAATCACTTCTTCCTTCTGCCAGGAGGCTTGTACTAGCACGCAGAGCTCACTTTTCTCCCAAGAGGGGAAAGAACAGGAATTTGGAATGAGAAAGAAGAGTTACACAGGACATTTAATCTTTAGCATAAAGATTCCATATGGAGAAGATAAGTACCTTCATCTCGCCATTCACCATGTAATTATTAAGAATTTTAAAAGTAGGTTGGGTGATGGTGGCTCATGCCTTTAATCCCAGCACTCGGGAAGCAGAGGCAGGTGGATTTCTGTGAGTTTGAGGCCAGCCTGGTCTACAGAGCAAGCACCAGGACAGCCAGGGCTACACAGAGACATCCACTCTCAAAAACCAAACAAGCAAGCAAGCAAGCAAGCAAGCAAGCAAGCAAACAAACAAATAAGCAAACAAGAAACAGAGACAACTCAGCACAGAGCAAAGCAGAGAGATTTTTAAGATGTCTGTGGCTGGAGGTGTAGCTAGGTAAAGCACTCACCTAGCGTGATGTGAGGTCCTGGGCTGTATCACATACAAATAAAATGAAAATAATCATTTATGTACTCAAGGATATAAGAAGCCATTTCACACATGAGAAAAAACATTGATATATGCCTATTGTGTGTGCATGTATGTATTATATGCACACACACATCTATTTCTCTAGTTGTATCTATATCAAATAGATACAAATAGATATCAAAGAAAAAGGCAGGGCCCTAATCTGGACGTATTTTGAACTACAAGTCTGGGTAAATTCTTTCAGTATGGAATCTGCCCATTTTCTTAAATTATTACAATGATTTTCCTCCCACTTTTGTTTTTGTTTTTATTTTATTCTTAAAAGAACTTTCGTTTTTCTTTGTTTTGGTTTTCTGAGACAGAGTTTCTCTGTGTAACAATCCAAGCTGTCCTGGAACTCACTCTGTAGACCAGGCTGGCCTTGAACTCACAGAGATCTGTTGCTTCTGCCTTCCTAATGCTGGGATTAGAGACATGCACCATCGCCCGGCCTGAAAGAACTTTCATGTACATGTAATTTATATGTTTACATGCTGAACCTTCTTTTCTAGATTTTTTTTTTTTTTTTTTTTTTTTTTGATTCAGACAGGGACTCACTCTGTAGCCCAAGATGCCCTGAACTCACCAATCTTGTTTTGGCCTTCCTTCAGTAGCTCTCCATCCTCCCACATCCAGCAGATATATACAGATATACAAATTAAGAAAGGACAGATAAGTCTCCTAAAAGTCAAAAAAATCTAACATTGAACTTAACAAAATGGGTAGAAAGAAATAAGCTAAAAATTGTAGGGTGGGTTAGATGCTCTTAGAATTCAGATTTTAGTTTTAAAAGGAAACTGCACATGAGCAAACGGCAAACACACATGCTGGAGGGTCACCACTCTGGACTATCAGCCACTTCCACCCACAGCAGAAGGAACTTTCAGGACAGAAACAAGAATCCAGCCCGGCGTGGACATGCTTTTCCCTAATGAAACATCCCAACAAGACACAAAAGAGGCTAAAGCCTGCTTTGCTTTATTATAAATGATTATACCTTGAATTCTAGTGACATCAAAGTGTTGGCCATTGGTCCTTTTTCAGTTGCTCAGGATTTGTTTCTTTCTTTTTTATTTTATTTTACTTTATTTTATTCTATAGGCACTGGTGTTTTACCTGCATGCATGTCTGTGAGGGTGTCAGATCTTGGAGTTAGAGACAGTTGTGAGCTGCCATGTAGGTGCTAGAAATTGAACCTGGGTTCTCTGGAAAGCAGTCAGTGCTCTTAACTACTGAGTCATTCATTCCAGCCCCTGAGGATTTGTTTCAGTAGCAATATATTATAAAAGAGCTTCCTGGTTAAACCACTGTCACTCATTCAACATTTAGGCTAAATCATGAAAAAACAAAGCAATGTAAAATTGTTAGTATTCAAGGTCATTGCTATATAACCCGAGATGGAGTTTCATTTCAACTGTAACAGTTAGGTGTGTAGAAATGAAAGTGTTTAAAAAACAGGAAATAAGCCACCCATATTATCTCTAGCTTTGTAAAGGAAGACAGTCTGGGTTATATAACAAAAATAAACCTCCCACCAGAGATCTTGGAAATCTTGAAATTTTTTTTCTGCAGAAGGATTTATTATTTTCCACTGAGAGTCCATTCAATCGTTTCTTCTTGTTTCTATTCATAGTATCAGATCCTGACTATCATGCACAACCTCAAAAGAAAAGAAACACTAAATACAAACTGCAAAATTAAATATGTAAAACAAAGCAAAATAAAAGAACACATGTTAGAAATGGGGACTCTGGGACTACTGCTACATACCTGGCACACACACTAGCTCTCCAGGGACTCACCTTGTAGGCAACACTGTTGGAAGAGTCCACAATGATGAACAAGGGTTTCCTTGTGAATGGATAGAGATCTCCAGGGTGAAGGCTGCAGAAAAAAAAAACCCAAACAAACAAACAAACAAACAAACAAAACAGTGAGGAATTTTGTAATTATGGTCGAATCTCAATAGGTTATTTCTAAATCTTGACTTTCGTAATGTGATGAATATGGGGTGCAGACATCTGGTTGAGACAGTGTACTAAGTGACATAATTTCATTTCCTTTAGATATAGACCAAGAAATGGGGCTATTGTTTTTTTTAAAAAATATTTATTTATTTATTAATTATGGATACAACATTCTGTCTGCGTGTATGCCTACAGGCTAGAAGAGGACACCAGACCTCATTACAGATGGTTGTGAGCCACCATGTGGTTGCTGGGAATCGAACTTGGGTCCTTTGGAAGAGCAGGCAATGCTCTTAAGCGCTGAGCCATCTCTCCAGCCCCCATGGGGTTATTGTTTTACAGTCTGCTATTTTTCCTTTGCAGTGTGCGTGCGTGCGTGCATGTGTGCTGGGCATGAATGGAGGCCTGAGGTTAATTTTGGAAATCTTCTGAAATCACTTTGTACCTTATTACTTGAGGTAGTCTTTAATCAAACTCAGAGTTTGCTGAGATGGGTAGTCTGGCAAACCAGCTTGCTCATGGATTTCCTCTCCTCCATTTCAGCCCCCTTCACCCCCACCCAACAGTCACATGGGTCTGGGGATCCAAACTCTGGCTCTCCTGTTTGTGTGACAAGGGTTTTAACCATTGAGCCAACTCCCCAATCATATATTTCAAATTCATTTCTTTATTTACTCATCTCTTCACTCATTTGGAGACATGAATGACTTTGCTATGTAGCCTTCCCAGACTGTCTTGTAAGCAAGTGCTAGGATCACAGATATAAGCCATTATATTTGGTCTATTTTAAACTGGTTTATATTTATTATTCATTCATTCATTCATTCATTCATTTTCTATGTGTGATCTCTCTTTCTTACCCCACACACCTTCACCGCTGTGCTCACATGGAGGTCAGAGAACAATCTATGGCGATTTAGCTCACTTCTATCCCGTAGATATATGGGGTTGAACTCAGGGCATCAAGCTTGGTGGCAAGTGCACTCACCTGCTGACCTATCTCGCTAGCCCTTATTTTTAACTTTTAGAGGAACACCCTACTGTTTTCCATAATGATTCTTCCAATCAAATTATATTCTCATGACAGTCTTCAAGGGCTCTCTGCTCATATCCTCAACAACACTTGGGTTTTGCAACAACTATCCTACCAGATGTTAAGAAATAACTTGTCATGGTTTTAAGCTGCACTTCTCAGATGGTCAGTGGTGCTATGCACATACTCACGTATCTGTCACGTTTCTAAAACAAATGCCCTAAACGAAGGTGAGCAACAGCACCACATGTGGCTTGGGGAAACATTAACTGTGGCATGAATAATTTGAAACATACAATGGCCTGGTCTCCTCCTTTATCCATTTTTCAGTATGAACAGTTTATATTTAATATAAAGTGTTATCAGACAAGTCCACTGTTCATTAAAAGCAGAATTTTCTTTTTCAGCTAGAGAAATTCTAAAGATGGTTCTATGCTAGAAAAAGCAGGCCTTCACACAAGAACACACAAGTAGTCTAAGGGAAGTTCCCATTTCTCTTAATAGCTACAGAGTTTCGATCCCTAGAATACGTACCAGTGCATCTCCTTGTGGGACTGGTTTCGTTTGTGGATTGCGTCTCCATTTATAATGTCCCGGTTACTGTTAGTGAGTACACCTCCAAAGTCATAGGGACCTAAAGAACAAAGAGAAGAAATAGAATTCAACTGGAGGGTGACATAAACTGATCTGAAGCTCAGATTCAAGAGCATCACTGAATCTCCCTTTGATATAAGTGCAAGATAAGCACAAAACATTTAAACCATTTTTAAATTTAACATTTTATTATAATGCAATATTTTCATTTCAGCACATTGCCTACGTCAACACTTTTAAACTCAGGAGGCAAAGACTGGCGGATCTCTGTGAGTTCAAGGCCAGCATGGTCTACAAAGTGAGCTCCAGGACAGCTAGGGCTATTACACAGAGAAACTCTGTCTTGAAAAGCCAAAATCCAAACCAAATAAAACCAAAAAACAAACAAACAAACAACCCAGCAATAACATCAAAACTAAGAATCTATAGCATTCCATTAATTTGGATAGTAAAAAGGGATGGAGACCTAAGATGTTTGAAATAACATTTACATTGCAAACAAAATTTCAATCTCTGATTTAACAAAAGTACTCTATAAAGAAAGCTGCTAAGTGCAAACTGCAATCTCTCCCCCCCCCACATGCACATTCAGGATTCAGGGCTCTCATTATGTTGCACAGGCTGGTCTTGAGCTCCTAGGCTTAAGTGAGCCTTCTGCTTTACCATCTTAAGCAACTGGCATGACAAAGGTACACTAATGTACCTGATCCAGTAAATATAATTTTAAATTAACTACTAAACGCAATATTTAAAGAAAAATTAGAATTGAATTTGAAAATTCTGACTAAAAAAACTTTATTTGGGCTTGAGAGATGGTTCAGTGGTTAAGAACACCAGCTGCTCTTCCAGAGAACCTGGGTTCAGTTCCCAGCACCCACATGGCAGCTCACATCTGCCTGTAGCTTCAGTTCCAAGGTATCTGGCATCTTCACACAGACACACATGCAGACAAAACACCAGTGCACATACAATAAAAAATATATAAAAAATAAAAATCTTAAAAAACTTAATTTTTATAAAATATTCTGCCAAATTCCAGTACATGAAAAATCCATTATTTTACTATTATGTAAACCTCTTTAATTCTGGTTAACATGTTAGGCTTTCCCCACTGGTCATAAGAGTTAGCTAACTTTTATCTAAGTTGAACAGTGACTGTGGGGAGTTCAGATAATCTCTGAGAAAGGATCATTCAGTTAGTGCCTATATTATTTACAGAAAGTAAAATAAGAGGTTAATAGTCTAATTTAAGACCCAGAATAGCTGGGCTGGAGAGATGGCTCAGTGGTTAAGAGCATTGTCTGCTCTTCCAAAGGTCCTGAGTTCAATTCCCGGCAACCACATGGTGGCTCACAACCATCTGTAATGAGGTCTGGTGCCCTCTTATGGCCTGCAGGCAGACACACAGACAGAATATTGTATACATAATAAATAAATAAATATTAAAAAAAAAAGACCCAGAATAGCTGCTTCAATAACATGTTTTCAAACAAGAGATAAGAAATATAAAGTGACTAACATTTAATAACAACTAAGGCAGTTACTGATGCTCCCTCCCTTATCCCTGGCCACCAGTGATCCACTATATCCCATCCCTCATATCACAGTTGGATTATAGCCCTCTAAAACATCACTGCAATATAAAGACTATAGAGATTTGCTCTGCTTTCTTTCACTGTAACTAATATTTTACTACTTTGTCATGCAAGGAAGATGGTGGGTCATGCATTTTATAAAGGAATGCCGATTCCAACAGACAGATGAGGAGGAAAATGTTGAAAATGTTAAACTATTTTTCTCCAGAGATTTAATTCCTTCATTTACATTTAAGTTGTTCATCTAGTCTGAACAATTCTAAGCTCATATGTTCTGACAGTTGAGGTCTTATTCTGAAACAGCATCTTAATACTGCATGGACTGAATCCACAGCAACAAAACAAAAGGACTAAAAATAAAATCGTAATAAGGACTTGAACTTTCACAGTTACAAAAGTACACTGATTTCTACTAAGACTTTCGGCCATTTGTTGCCTCTGACCAAATTCCAAAATATATTAAAAGCTTACAATGATTAATGATGTCAAATAAATAAGTTGGTAGGTTCCATAGTCCTATGCAATGACAAATATCAAACTGCATATGTATAAATCTATATATGATACTTTTGACAAATTTGATAGCAAAGTATGAATTTGATCAATGTATTATTTCAGGATATCTGTACTTCAGGGACTAACAGCTGAATTTGGAGAGTTAAATTCGTTCTTTCCAACACTGTCACTAAACAAGCAGATGAGGTTTTAAATTTGGAAGCTTCTCTAGAAAGCCTGAAGTGGTCTCTGGGCTGTGGGCCATTGTCTTGTAGAAAATAGAGAGAATTCAAGCCCTGCTCACAGTGGGAGCATTCCTTTATTGTACCTTCACCATCAGAACGACCTGTGGGGAAAACGCCAGTGGCTGACAGGTAAATCAGAAGTACGCTATTGGCAGGCAGCTCCTGAAATGAAAGAAAACCACAGACGCAAAACCACAGACAGAAAAATAACATAGTTTTATTTAAAGTTCAGGGCAATTTAAAGCTGTGGGGAAAATGATGTCGTTTAACACACTGCTGCTATTTCCAAGAGAATTACCATATTCCCACATATTCCAATTTAAAATCCCATGGTGAAGATCCCCTGTGATCCCCACTGTGCAGCCGCTGCCCAAAGCTGTCAATATGTTTTCCACTCGTAACTTGCCATCTGTTATAGCATGTTCTCTGAAAACATGAAATGGAGAAAGCTCTCCACTGGTTTGATAAAAAGGGGCAAGCTCCCCTCATACCTCTAAATACCTCATACCTCTAAATAGATTTTGGGAAGATACTACCCAATTCCCATCATCCCCCCCACTTTTTTTTGAGGCCTTATGGAACCCACAGTGGCCTTAACTTTGCTGCATACTGATGTATCCAGGTTGTCCTTGAACTTGCTACTGTGTGGCCCAAGAGGGCTTCCAACTCCTGTCCAAATGCAAGATCACAGGCATTTACCAAATACTTCTCCCTATCAGAGAGTAACAATGTTTCACAGAGCTGCCTGAGCACATACAAGCTGTTTCTCCTTCTCAGTTTTGCACTGAGTGTTAAGCCCAAAGTTCTTTAGTAATAACAATCTGGAAGGGAGAGAATGGAGATTAACCAACAGTCTCTGACTGACATCATCAGCAACTCCCACTCCCAAGCCCAAGAATCAGGACTCCGGCTGGAGCAGCACTTCACATATTTCAGACCACTCACATTTGCAGTCAGACCGAGCCCACCATGAACACTCTCCCTGCCACAGAAGAAAGGCCACACGTACCTTAAAAGATGCTGCTAAGAAGGTATACAGCTGGCTAAAGGTCGGCTTGTAGAGTAGATACTTGTGGGGGTTTTCCCGTCTGGTTGGCTTGTCAGCTGACTCCTACAGTGACACACCCAAAATGACACATAAGTGGTATGTGACAGGTGAGTTATCAAATGTCCTCATTTCATTCAGTGTCTGTAACTGTCATATCAACAGAGTAGACAACTCTGTGTCTTACTGAGAGCGCTCTTTGTTTTGTTACAGGAACTCACTTTACAGCCCAGGCAGAACTCTCCCTTGCAACAATCCTACGTTTGGCCAGCTAGTGTTCCTTATAGATGTGAGGCACCCATGACTGGCTTGAGAGAATGCTATATTTACATGTGTTAGAGTTACCACTCTGGCAAATGTGGGTGGAAGGTCACCTGTATTCCTGGTTTATTCATCTGGGAAGCTAAATTCATTGGTTCCCTCTCCAAGGCTTGCAGCATACGGAACATGTCAACAGTTAATTCACTGAATTTGACCTGGAAGAAAAACATACCTGGTCATTAATGTAATAAGCACAACTTCTGCTCTTTTTTTAAATTTTTTTTTTTTTCATGCCAGGGTTTGTCTGTGTAGCCCTGGCTGTCCTAGAATTTCCTCTGTAGACCAGGCTGGCCTGGAATTTACACAGATCTGCTTGCCTCTGTCTCTCTGAATGCTGGGATTAAAGAGGTGCATCACCACCTCCTGGCTGAACTTCTGGTGTTTAATCACATTTTACTTCTGATTTTCAAGTATACTTAATAACAGCTGATTTTTAAAATATATATGTTTATTTTTAAAATAGAAGTTATATCTTTCCCCCTGGATTTGTTGCAGCATTATTAATTGGTCTTAATAATAAAAAGACATGCCTTTGTTCCTTCTTGAAGCCATGGTCTCTTTTTTTAGTTGTTATTGGTATATGTGTTTGTGTGCATCTAAATATATAAGTACAACCTGCTCAGTCCGTTTAGTGCTACTTATAAGTATGTGATTGATAGCTAACCACTTGGAACTGGAAAACCAGTCAGGGAGTACATCCCTGAAGAGGGCTATTCTCCACACCACAGTCCCGAACTGTTCACTACCCATTACCTCTACATAAGAACAAAACAAGTTCTAGATCAGAGCAAGGAGACAACATCCTGGCTTTCTGTCCTTTCACTCAGAGACGAGGAGCTGAGGGCACACTCTCAGGACAGAACCAACGGCAGCAGTTGCACTCACTCTTCTCTCCTGTGTAACCCAGGATGGCCTCAATACCTACTTCAGCCTTCCAAGGGCTGTGATTATACGCATGTGCCACCATTCTTGACTTTTCTGAATTCTAAAGAATAAACTCTACACATAGCAGAATTACAATTTCTTATTTTCCTATTTTTGAGGTGATTTGCTAGTTTGGTTATTCTTTTGTTTTAAATACAGGATCTTGCTGGGCATGGTGGCAAACTCCTTTAATCTCAGCATTTGTGAGACAAAGTTCAAGGCCAGCCTGGTCTACATAGGGAGTTCCAGGACAGCCAGGGTTACATAGTGAGAGGCTGTCTCAAAAATATCAAAAAAGAAAAAAAGCAGCTTGAGTCGTGGCTCAGCGGCTAGGAGCGCCTAACGCTCCGCTCTAGTGCCAGAGGATGTGGGATCGAATCCCACCTGGTGATATCGATAACGATAATTGATCAATTGATAATAAGTCGTTATCGATAAATTGGAAAAAAAAAGAAAAAAAAAAAAAAGAAAGCCTTGCTATACTGCCCAAGTTGGCCTTAACTCACAGCAATACTCCTGCCTCTAAAATCCCAATTGCCTGGATTATAAATGTGTGCCACGGTGCTGGAGAGATGGCTCAGAGGTTGAGAGCACTGCCTGTTCTTCCAGGTCTTGAGTTCAATTCCCAGCAACCACATGATGACTCACACCCATCTGTAATGAGATCTGGTGCCCTCAGCCACCATAGGAAACAGAGCCACCACTATTAAAATCTATTGTCATGTTAGTAGAGCACACATATTCTACACTTCAAGCCTATTGGCCCTTATTTAACCCTGAATGCCAGTGCTGACTTAACCCCTTCAATTCCTCAGCTCTCACTCATTGGCCCTAACCAGTTTTGTTTTGTGGTTTTTTCCCTTTTTTTGAGAAAGGGTCTCATGTAGCTGGCTGCGGACAAAGATGACTTTCTGCTCCACCCTTCACAGTGCTGGTGTCACAGCCATTGACCCTGGGCTGAAAGTCAGGGCTTTCTGAGCACACAGGCACTCTACCACACTTCCAGTCCTCACACTAGCACTTGAATTAGTCTCTAAATTTACAGGCAGATTTTTTTCCCTAGGCTGAATCGTGGAAGCAGGGTCACCTGAGAAACAGCTTATACCACATATACAGCTGTACAGTGATGCAAAATTATAAAAGCCACCCTTGTCTCCTTCCATATGCAATGATGGATCAATGGTACAGGATGATCCTTTAATGTATCTGTGGGAACCAGTCTTGCAGATAATTATTACCTCTGTTCCTGTAGCACAAAAAAATAGTACCATTCAGTGAGATATCTGAGAGTTTCCTCACTTCTCTAACAATTCCACTGTGTCTTTAACCTGTTCTGCACAACTACATCCAAGATGAACATCTTCAGGGGAGGTGGGTGAACAGCAGCAAAGTCTTTTGCTAAATGTACATATGCAAGTGTCATAATGAAACGCATTACTTTGTCTGACAACTAAAATCTAAAATATAATAAGTAATAAGACAGCTATGAAGAACTACACCTACTTTCTCAAAATGCAGCCCTCATCACTACTTTCCTTGCCCTGCCTTTTGCTAGTTCCCTGTGCATTTGGGAAAAGACAACCTTCCTGGCTTTTTCCTGCACTTCTTGCTCTTCCCATTCCCTCCCCACAAGTGCAGCCTTCTGCCAGCGTCTGACAGGCGCAGACAACAGCACACCTGTCACTGCTGTTTCACGTGCTTACGCTGCAAAACTTCTTACTCTCTAGGTCTTAACCAAAATGCTTTCTCCTAGACGAGGTCAAATTCCCTGATGTCAGACATCAGAATAGTACACCTTTCCTTTGCCACATCTGCTGAAAGGATATTATCTAAGTAGTTATTTTGTTAATAATTGTTTTCACAGGTAAACAGGAAGATCCATCAGTGAAGGCATTTTGCCTTTTTTGCTACATACACACCCTGGACACGTGACTGACACTTTATAAATACTGATGGGCTGGGGATGTAGCTCAGTGGGAAATTAATAAACTAATAAGCATCTTTCTGTGTCCTTAAAAATTCTTTCTCAACAATGTCACCATCAATATTTTATATATATATATAAACATGGCATAATTGATTTAACCATTCCTTACAGATGTTAGGGATTTTACAAGGGAAGAATCCCAGGATGAGAATAATGAACTTTTTTCAAAGTGAGTTTTAAGCATAATTTCACTTCACAGTTCTTTACCTGATTATTACAATTACCAATAATGAGCGCATCAGCCAGAGACAGCTGCCCCACAATCATGCCTTGCTCCAGCAGTGGGGCTCCTGTTTCAGTGAGGCGATTAGATGTGATAACAATGGTGTTATCATCATTTAACACCATCACAGGGTCTGCCTGAAGAAAAAAAAAAGCATGTGATGACAACACAGAATGTCAATGCTATTTGTTCTTCTCAAAGTCACATATACACCACAAACATACAACACAGTCATCTGCCGACCGGTGACTGTGACAACCTTTCTCAAGAAATTACCCCAGTAGTCTGAATGTGGTGGCTTATGCCGTTAATACCAACACTTGGGAGGCAGACAAGTGCACTCAATTTGAGGCCAATCTGGTCTACAAAGCAACTTCCAGGATAGTAAGGACTGTTATACAGAGAAACCCTGTCTCAAAAAACAACAACAACAAAAAAACAAAAAAGCTGGGCAGTGGTGGTGCAGGCCTTTACTCCCAGCACTGGGGTTGGGGGGGGGGGGGGGGCGGGGGCAGAGGTAGGTGGATCTCTGTCAGTTTGAGGCCAGCCTGGTCTACAGGGCAAGCTCCAGGACAGGCTCCAAAGCTACACAGAAAAACCCTGTCTTGAAAAAAAAAAAGAAATTACCTCAATAAAGGCTGCCACTTCTTGAAGCACCAGGTTCCACTCTACTTGATCTTCAGTATTAAAGCGATGAGTATAATCTTCAATTTCATCAGATAATTCCTGGTTTTAGGAATACCAAAGAAAAGGGGTTATTAAAAATCTCTATAAAAAGGCTAGTGTCCTTTTTATGTCCCTGCTACTCAGCCTGACAACTTGAGTTCAATACATGGAACCCATGCAATAAAATGAGAGAACCAATGTTATCCTCCAACCTGATGCCTATGTGCCTATTTTACTTGTGCATGCACACACACACACACACACACACACACACACACACACAAATAAATGTAAAAAATTTTCATCAACAGCTCCACTCCAGGTCTACTTGGGGAGAGAGGCAGATCTGAAGTGGAGAGGGCAGTGAAGAACAGGTTGAAGTAGATGCCCTGCTTGCCACTGGGGACCATGGCGATGTCTGAGCCTGGCTGTGGCCAAGGGCCATGACTTGGTCTCTAATCCTGATGCAGCAGTGGGGGTCTGTGTTGATGTCTATGGCTCCTGTTACCACTGAGGGCCCTGTGGAAGCCAGAGTCTGAACCACTACCTACGACTAAGTTTATGTTCAAGAGATGTGCCCCCATCATAGAGGGGCACGCTAATTCAGGACCGGTTTGCCATCAAGCTGGCTATGTAAGCACTCAAGACTAAGGCAGGAGGACGGTCAATTTAACAGATAGTCTGGGTTACATAATGAGTTCCAGGGCAGAAAGGGCTGGGATCACAAAAGAAAGAGAGAGCGGGGAGGGGAAAGGGCGCCTCCCAAGTGTTGGGACTTAAAAGCAAGCAGTACCACACCAGGCTATTATTTTAAAATACATTTATAATGTCAGCACTAGAGAGACTGATTCACAGGGATTATACATTGCTCAAACTAGATACAAGGGCGGAGGGCCTTGGTCCTGCCTCAAGTGCTCAATAGACTTCTTTGACTCCCTAGGGGAAGCTTCACCCTCTCTGAGCAGTGGATGGAGGGGGTGGGGTGGAGAGAAGGTGGAGGGGAGTGGAAGGATGGGAGAGGGAACTGGGATTGGTATGTAAAATAAGTTTTTTTTCTCCCCCTACCCCCCAGGCAGGGTTTCTCTGTAGTTTTGGAGCCAGTTCTGGAACTAGCTCTTGTAGACCGGGCTGGCCTTGAACTCATAGAGATCCGCTTGCCTCTGCCTCCTAAGTGCTGGGATTAAAGGTGTGCACCACCACTGCCCAGCTATAAGTTTGTTTTAAAAATAAAAAGAAGTATATTTACCTTTACTAGGTCTTTCACAACATCCATTTTGTTAAGAAGAAGACAAACTACTATAAATCTTGCATAGTATCGGAGTTTCTTAACAACCAACTCAGGCCTACGGTAGATAAAAGAGAAATCAATCATTATATTAAAATGGAAAACAAGCTGTTTTGATTTCTGGATGGCTTTTAAAACTTTATTATTTGTAGAACAGAGACAAAATTTCAACATAAAACCACACAGCCTTAGCTTGGCAAGTGCTTGTACTTCCACAACCCAGCAGGTGGAGGCAGGAAGATCAGGAGTTTAAGGTCAAGTACTGAGTTCAAAGGCAGCCTGGGGTACAGAGACCAGTCTCAAAACCAAAACCAGGGAGCCTTGTAAGTACATTTTAACACACTGAGTCATCATTCTACATTCGTTCATTCTACAAGCATCTATGGAGAATTTCAGTGCATAAGAAACAATGCCATGACGGGGCTGGAGAGATGACTCAGCAGGTGAGAGATATTGCTGCTCTTGCAGAGGACCTGTGTTCACCCACATGCTCACAATAATCTGTAATTTCATTCTAGGGGATCCACCCTCTTCTGACCTTCTTGGGCACGAGGCACAAATGAAGTGCACAAATGAAGCGCACATACACATGCAGGCAAACACCAGGCTGGCCTCAAACTCACAGAGATATAACGCCTGCCTCTGCCTCCTGAGTGCTTATATTAAAGGCATATACTACCATGTTCAGCATAAAAGAAATTAAAAAAAACTTAAGAAATAAAAGAAAAAGAAAATGAAAAGAAAAGCAGTGATGGAGTGCAGTACTTGGGAGGCAGAGGCAGAAGCAGTCTACACAGAGTTCCAGGTCAGCCATAGCTGTTACATAGAGAAACCCTGTCTCAAAAAACAAAAATAAAATGAAATTTTAAAAAAAGGAAAAACATCAAACCTATGTTATTTCTTCTACTACTAAGAAAAGCCAATTTTCCACTATACATTGGTTGTGAGTCCTGTCCCTGGGGGTGCAGGGAACACATCATCTTTTGTGCCTGAAAGTTCTTCAACAATCCTTGAAATGCAATGAAACCCGCAGTTGATCGTTTCTCCAGCTGCAGCTCCTCTGACGGCTGCCAGTCAGCCCTCCCCAGTGTCTATCTACAGCCTCAGCAGAAGACAGTCTTCAGTCAGGGCCTCACACACACTCTGCCTTTCCCTTCCCCATGCACTTGTCAAGGGGGAGTATATGGCAAGTCAACAGACTTCTACCGGGAATCCACGAATCCTACAAGACTTCATAAAGCAAACGGTGGTGCTCAATCAGGCAAGGTGGTCAAAATAGTATTGTGTTTCTGTCTTTCGGGACTTTTTTTGACAGTCTCACTATGTAGCCTACCGACCTCCACCTGCATCTGCCTCCCAAGTGCTGGGGCTAATGATATTTGCTACCACACATCAGAGTAGTGGGCTTAAAAAAGAAAATTCAAAGAACACTAGCAGCCTTTTTCTCTGGTTGTATGTAATAGTTGCCAATAGACTTTTGAAGACGAATATATATATTGTGTATGTATAAATATATATATAAAATGTATATGACTAAAAACTACATGGACTAGAAATAACAAAGACATTAGTAAAGCCTAGTTTTAGAGCCTTTTGTTTCCTAGGAAGCTTGTGCAACCTACATAGATCAAGAAAACCTCTCAGCGATGAGATGGCTCAGCAGATAAAGGCACTTGCCTGAAGACCTGAGCGGGACTCTCAGAACTTGTGTGCTGAAGTAGAGAAGGTGAGAGACTTCCTCAGAGTCGTTCTCTCACCTTCGCATGTGCATGCACATGGACACACACACACTAAAATGCTAAATGTCTTGTCATCTTTCTGAAAGCACAGATAATACATACCTGTCCTCTTTATTAACTTGAGAGTAGTATGATCTCTGTCTGATTGCAGAGTAGAAGGAGAAAGCCTCATTCAGATAGCTGGTCTCAGATGTTCGTAAACTAAGAAAAAAATTCAAATATGGATCAAGCTGGGTGTATTCCTCATGAGAAACACTTGTTCCAGATTGTCCAATTCTACATGGGGGATGCTAATGACTATGCTAACTCTGAGTCAGCAAAGTACTACTCATATCGTTTGTCAATTGTCTAGGAACAATAGCAACAACAAAATATTTCCTTGCTGCTCCTAAGCTTTTTGGAAGTCAATCAAAGCTCATGTCATTACCATTCTACAAAATGTCAGCATACTACTTGAGTATATCTGCACCCAGGTCTAGACCTTCTATAACTTCTCCCTAATCAGCTGGTACTGAAATTTTCACCCATTTCTTTTGCTTTTCCCTCCTTATTAACTCATGCTACTCTTTGAGGGATGCTAATGAGCTATGTAGTCTGTTTAGTATGTCTAACTTAATAAGAAACTTTCAGGGCTGGAGAGATGGCTCAGTAGTTAAGAGTGCTGCCTACTTTTCTAAAGGTCCTGAGTCCAATTCCCAGCAACCACATGGTGGCTTACAACCATCTGTAGTGAGATCTGGTGCTCTCTTCTGGCCTGTAGGCATGCATGCAGGCAGAATACTATATACACAATAAATAAATCTTTAAAAAAAAGAAACTTTCAAAAATAATTTAAAAATTTATTTAATGCTTTGACAATTTTACACGCATGTGTGCATACACACAATGCATTCTTGTTATGGAATATTAATTTAAGATGCACTACATTTGTTTATCTGTGGAATATTTGTTTAATGATGCAAAGATGTTACATTCTTTTATGCTGCATTTGTTTTAACTCTGTGAAGCTGTGTTACTGTGCCTGTCTAAAACACCTGATTGGTCTAATAAAGAGCTGAATGCTCAATAGCAAGGCAGGGGAAAGGTAGGTTGGGCAGGCAGGCAGAGAGAAAAAAATAGGAGTAGAAATCTGGGGAGAGGAAGATCAAGGAGTGAGAAAAGAAGGGGCCAGCCACCCAGCCAGGCACAGAATAACAAGGAAAGAAAAGATACACAGAAATAAAGGAAGTTAAAAGCCCAGAGGCGAAAGGTAGATGGCATAATTTATGTTAGGAAAAGCTGGCAAGAAATAAGCCAAGCTAAGGCCGGGCACTTATAAGTAAGAATAAGCCTCTGTGTGTATTTACTTGGGAACTGGGTGGCGGGCTCCCAAAGAGTGAAGAGTAAAACAAACAACAATTCTGGTTACTCTCTCCTCTTTCTCACCTTCCCATTCTTATCAAGTCTTGTTTTTTCATGTCCTTTACCCAGATTCATGACATGGTTTTGTTGTATGACCCATTTAGTGTAATCAGGGCCATTTATGCAAGCGTTAGATTGGGACTATCTACTGGAATCTGGTGAGGGTACAGGAAGTACATAACCACAGCACTGACATATTATCTACCAGCAGGAAATGGCTCAGAAGTGAGTAGGGTCCCCTGATTTCTCCTCCATCAAGGTCTGGCTGTTAATGAGCCCTTTTCAGTGCAGATCCACTGTAGACATCTGTAGGTGTTAAGGGTTCACGATTACAATGGCTGTGTACTCTGAGTGCCATGCAAAAGCTGGGAAGACGAGGATGTTTCTTATCTTTTTGTTCTGTTTTGTTGACAGGTCTCTCTGTGTATCTCTGGCTGTCCTGGAATTCACTCTGCAGACCAGGCTGGGCCTTGAGCTCACAGAGGTTTGCCTACCTGAGGCCCAAGTCTTTGGTTACTGATGTCTCTTTGTACTGAGAGTCACATTTGTAAAAGGAGATTTCTTCTTTCCTTCACTCAAAGGTGGGACTACACAGATGTTACTATTCTAAGGCGGCAAACAACTGTCTATTTTTGTCACATGACCTTTCAAGCATAGCCAACTAGGATGAGTGTTTAAAGGATGCTGTGAATATACATACTGTGTCTCTACACACCATCAAAACGTAAAAAGCCCCAAGAACAATAAATATATTTAGTACTCATCATTTATTTAAAAGAAAAAGATAAAATTCCTCAGGTCTGATCGAATGAGTTACTGAAGAGACCACCTAGCATACATAACACTGCTTGAATTCCGCAAGGCCATTTCATGGTGCCATCCTGATCCATCTGGCCTGAACAAAATTCTGTCTGTAACTCACTGTTTTCTCTCTCTTACATGCTGTTTTAACCAAAGAAACACTTTCTTCATTCCATGTGTAATTCACTTACTAATAGTGGTAATACAGCTGCCCAATCTTGGAAGCAATTTCTCCTATTTGCCACCGCTTCAAGCCATACCGATTATCCAAGACTTGTCTGTTTACATAGAAGACAAAAAAATAGAAATAACAAAACATAAATTTCAAAAATAACCAGTTCTGTAAATTAAATGATAAAATAACATCCAATTAGCACAACTTATGAATTATAAGATTTCAACATAACCATTCAACTACATTAAAAATGTTTCTCTATTAATTGACTGATTTGTGTTACATCTTTGTGGGTATATGTATATACAATCTGTACATACATGTGCATGAGTACGTGATAATGTGAGCTCAGGTGTAGCTGTTAGAGGATAGCCCTCACTGTCAGCCCTTGCCCCTCACCTTCGTGGTCACTATTGTGCACGGAGGCTAGACAGGGATTCTTCCCATTTCACCACCTTGATTGCTGGGATTCAAACTTGTAAGACAAACACTTTCTCTCCAGCCTCAGTTCTTTTAGGGACAGGATTTCATGTAGCTAAGACTGGCCTATCTCTGTAGTTGAGGATAACCATGGATTCTTGATCCTATTTCCACCTCCTAAGAACTAGAAGTATAGGTGTATACCAACATACTCAGCTTAAAAAATAGTTATTAAATGTCTGCTGAAGCCAGGCACACACACTGTGGCAGCACAGCTTTAATCCCAGCACTCGGGAGACAGAAGACGGTAGATCTCTGTGAGTTTGAGGCCAGCCTGGTAACAGAGCAAGTTCTAGGACAGTCAGAGCTACACAGAGAAACCCTGTCTCAGAAAAAAAAAATATCTACTGAAAGCCTGTTGCAATGGTTCACATTTGTAATCCCACAACTCAGGAGGCAAAGGCCAGTTGTGAGGTGGCGGAGGCAGGAGGATTGATGAATTCTCAGGGGTTTCTACGTCAGCCTGGATAATGAAGTGAGATCCAATATCAGAAAAAGAAAAAGAAAAAACCAAAAAGAAAACAGAAAAAAGAGAATATAGTCTAAGTTCTCTATAGTTCCATTGGGCTGGGGGAATCATACCTTTAATATTGGCACTTGAGAGACAGAGGCAGATGGATCTTGGTAAGATTGAGATCAGACTGGTCTGCAGAGTTCCAGGCCAGCCAAGGCGACATAGTGAGACCTGTCTCACAAAAGAAAAAATAAAACTCTTCCTCCTCAAACAGTGTGGACAGCTAACCACATTTCAAATGTGGTTTAGAAGGCCACAGGTCATCTTCTCAGGTGCAAGTAGGAGTAGATTATTTTTCCATACAACACCATCATTAAAAGTTAGAGAACACACTAAAAATCTTAAACAGAAAAAAACCACTATTTTCATTTGGTTCATGAGATATATTACTTTACACTTGATCTTAACCTAGGAGCACTGAACTATGTTATTTCAAAAGCTCCAGGAAGATCTGCAGAACCCACATGGTAGAAATCAAGATCTGACTCCAGTAAGTAATACACACACACACACACACACACACACACACACACACACACACAAAATGTAAACCAAAATAAAGAACAAAATAAGATACTAGATTTGTTCATGGTCAGAACTATGGTGAATATACAACTATACAATGCACCTTTACACCCTTTAGCTATGAAACTCTTTACCGATGCTGCTGCTGAAATTTCCAGAGTTTGGTGTAAACATCAAAAGTTCTTCCAAAGTAGGATTGCCACTGCTTCTGTCCATATTGAGGCAAATCTCTGTAAAAATAAAGTGTATGTTCACATTAAATTTTGGAAATTGTCTTGTTATGGTAAAAACTGCATCAATTAAAGTATTTACCATAGGTTTTCTGTTAAACCAAATAAAAATTTTTGAAGCAAAAATAATTCTGTGGTCCAGAACATATTTTCCTGGTCTTGCACTAAATTACAGTTCACCTTAGTGTCCTTGGCATACAACTCTCCCCATGAGGACACAATCATATCTTCACTGGCAGGTGATAGATAGACTTACTCGGATACTTTAGCTAAGACAAAACAATCTGAAAACACTGCTTACGAAATACAGTCATAACTAGAAGTGGGTTTGTAGTTGATGCTATTCTATCTCCTTCTTAGAAGAGAAATACATGTCCCTAAGCCTGATGAGCTGCGATATCTGCCTTAGAGAAACAAATACTCCCTACTGTATGAATATTAAGCCTAACAATATTATCTTGTTTGGGGCAAAGAATGTAATTGTAAGTTATTCCATTTTCACTTCACCATCTGATCTAAAACTGACTACTCTATAGCCTGCAACACAGAGAAAAAATATTTAATGGATTCAGAGAGCTGCAGACAACTCACAGGTAACCAAGGAGTTAGAAATAAATCCCCATTGTAGTAAGGCATGAAAATTTAGGACATTTGTTATAGCAGCAGTATGCTAGAAAAGAGAGTGTAAAAACTGGTGTTGCAAGCAGGTTGTTGTTGTGAGAGACCTTGGCACTGGGCTGAGGAGCAGGTAACTCTTAAACAATAGCTGGAAATGAGGTCATTGGCAGGATGGCAGAAATCTGCCTACTGTGATCTGGAATGCAGGCAATGTGACAAATGAACTCAGGGTCTACACAAAGAAGGCAGAATGAGAATGTTACTAGTTAGCCCTGGTTGTATCAGTTAGTTGTACTTTAATAAAATGCTCTAAGAAAAAGTTAAATTCTGCCAAAGGGGGAGAGATGGAAGAGAAAAAAAAATATAAAGGAAAGGTCTATAAGCAGTCGAAGTAGAAAAATGATAAATACAAACATTTCTCACTTTTAGAACAACAAACAGTGTTAGCCACTTACATTTGCTACAATACTAATTTCTTCCAAAGAATTTGGAGCATTTATCATTCCAGTCTAAAGAATCACAACTGCGCTGAAGATAGCTTAGGAAGTGAAGGAGTCTGCTGCCATGGCTGACGACCTGAGTAGGAGCTGCAAGACCCACATGGGAGAGAAGAGCTCCAATCCCCAAGAGCTGTCCTTCTACCTTCTCATAAATTGCATGGCTTGTGATCACTACCCCCTTCTCCATACCAGATACACAGAAAAAAATTTTAAGAATCAGCTATAAAAAAGTTTTACAAAATAAGGTTAACTTATTTCTTATGATCACCCTTTTTCTAATGACACATATCATAGAAGCTCACATATAAACCATTATAAAATGCTTAAGAGTCTAAAATTAAATAAGATATTTGATAAAAGTTTTTGAATGATGGTGGTAGTGCACATCTTTAAACCAGCACGCAGAGGCAGAGGTAGAGGCAGGTGGATCTCTGTAAGTTTGAGGCCAGCCTGATCCACAACATGTCCAGGACAGGTAGAGCTATACAGAAAAACCCTGTCTTGAAAAACAAAAATGAAAAAAAAAAGAGCCTTAGATAAATTCTTCTAAAATTCAGAGCTTGACTCTGGCTTTTAACTCTGAATGCATCATCTGATTATTATTGCTGTCAATATATGGGAAATTAATGATTAATGGAGTTAAATTAAATGGGGCTCTGTGAATTAAATGACCTTGCATTTCATTTTGGATAGGCACTGATGTTGCAAGCTGGCTGTTCACATTATTTTTCTGAGGTTTTAGAGGAATGTGTAGGTATGACACCAATCTCTCTTTGAATCTTCAATGCTGCCGACAGACATCAGAAGGCTGGGCACAAAAGAGACGAAATGATGAGCCTGATTCTTTAAGGTGCTGCTTTGGTTTATGTTCTGACAAAGCTTGCCTGGAGATCAGAGGGCAGAGCTACCTACCAGTTAACCACAGGAGCCAGGCAGTGGTTATCTTTTATCACAACTAAACTATAACTATCTATTCTTCAACTCCATCAAAGACACCAGAAGGATATAATATTACCTAAGTTAAAAGGAAGTGCATTGTAAGCAACTTCCAAAACTCTAGAACAGATAGAGACATCTCACTGCTTGGACAGTGACCCAAAGTTCTTCTGTATCATTGCAGCATCCATCTTCAGCCTACAGGCCCATAGTATCCGGCGACTTTTCCATGAAGCAGGAAATTTGAAGATCTTTTATGACTTGTACTGTCAAAGCTCATCATTTGCTTTCTTCTGTGTTCTGGAAAATGTCTGGCAGTTCTCTCATGAAGCAGGAACCCTCATCTTCTTTAGGCAAGTTCACCAGTCATTTTTCTGTGGGTTCTGCATGTACAGTTCATATAGCATATCATCAAACAGTTCAGGCAAGAGCAGTTTCTTGCCCAAATGGCTAACCAATTCAATAAGGAGCCTCTTCGATGCCCATCATCCTCTTGAAGTAGATTGGTATTGCCAAGAACAGATGTATCTCATTGCCAAGAAAAGTCCTAATTTCTTAAACATTTTAAATGTCATAATCTGAAGGTCTTTGAAAGGTTTGAAGAATAACTATCCATCTAAAATATATCTCTGTACATCTAGAAAACCTACCTAATATGACTACAGTCTTGATTATTACAGATGACTATCTATTAACCTGTACTTCTTAATTACACATTACATTTTTAAAAGATTTATTTATTATGTATACAACATTCTGCCTCCATGTATGCCCATGTGCCAGAAGAGGGCACCAAATCTCATTACAGATGGTTGTGAACCACAATGTGGGTGCTGGGAATTGAACTCAGAACCTCTGGAAGAGCAGCCAGTGCTCTTAACCACTGAGTCATCTCTCCAGCCCCCACATTACATTTTTAAATGAGCTGCACAAACACAATACCTTAATTGAGAGTAGAAATATACATATAACAAAATGGACCTTAAAATTTGTTTCAATAGACCAAGATCCATACCAATGAAAAGTAGTCATCTCTATAGCATATCCCCCTTTAAATATAAAAAATATTTATAAACAATATCTGAGAATTTGGACATAGTTCTCTCTAAACTGTTTCCTGCTTTTTGTTGGGTGAAGTAATTTTGAGGGGTTCGCAGAGACCTTTCAGGGGGTCTTGTTCCATCAAACCACATTAGCCTGGAAGCAATCCACAGGTTCTCATCTTCTGTAAAAACAAAAGCAGAACCTCTTTTCCAAAGCAACATATCCTTAGGATCAAATTTTGAAGTCAAGATACCTTAAAGTATAAATGTTGGTTTAACTCGGCAGCCCATATAATGAAATGTCTCTTCTTTAAAAAAATATTTATTTATTTATTTATTGTGTATACAATATTCTGTGTGTGTGTATGCCTGCAGGCCAGAACAGGTCACCAGACCTCATTACAGATGGTTGTGAGTCACCATGTGGTTGCTGGGAATTGAACTCAGGACCTTTGGAAGAGCAGGCAGTGCTCTTAACCTCTGAGCCATCTCTCCAGCCTATGAAATGTGTCTTTGTACTTAGCTCATGCATAGTCAAAAAATTCAAAGAAAACAATAATATACATAATCAGACTTTCTGAATATCTTCCATCTTAATATGACTTAGTTTTCTTTACTCCTTCACTCTATGACTGTCTGTACTGTCTCTTTAAAGACTTTATTTTATCTATATTATTTTTCTTCTTTCTCTCAAGCCTATGGATATTTTTCAAACACACTGTGACCCATTCAGAGGTTTATTTCTGTCTGACTCTGTCTTTATGCATTTCTGTAATTATTTTCTGACCAGGAATGCTTTAAAATGATAAGCAGTGTGTTGTGGTAGCCCTGGATGCTGGCTCTGCCCCTCTCAGACTTTCAATATGGTGTAGGTATCTTATTGCCAGCTCTGGGACCGCTGGGTGAGATTCGTGCCCACCACTTCCACTCTGCATAGCACCCGTGCAGCATATAAGCCCTTTTTATCTGAGTAAAAGCTAAATCTGCCATGCAGCACAGTGTGCAGTCTGGAAATATCTCTGTGTATGGCCGAGGGAATCTACCATTCTTTCCTGCCTGTGTATGCCTACCAACCCAATCCTACCGCCTGCCCAGGTGGAGAACAAGGAGCCACAGGCATGATCTTATTGATAAAGGTTAGATTTGAACAAGGGAGAACTCCTGATTAGAAGAGGTTCATCAAACAGCATGACCATTCAATCTAAACTAACTTATAAGTCTAACAAATGCTTCTCATTTGATCAGATACAACTTGCGAAAAGAGAAACTCACCAAAGTTAGGGTTGGGACAGAGTTTTGTTTTTGTCTTTTCAGGAAAATAAAGGCATCTAGCTAAGGAAACTGAAGAACACTGGACAAATGAGACATCTGAAGAAAAAGGACAATCATCTAGAAAAAAAATGTCTCAAGAAAAAGAGTAAAGTGGCCTATTGGTATATCACATGTCCAACAGGATAAACTTCATAAATCTTCCCAAATGTTTGTTTCTGCTCTTCTCTATAGACATACAATAGTCCAGGGTTAGGGTGCTGCAGATCTTCCACAGAGCTGTGGCTAAAGACCAAGAGATATTCTGGCTTCTCTGAATAAGCCTTTAGTCAACAAGCACCTAGCCTATGCACAAATCTGTTATTTATGCATAAAAAGTTGTAAGATAGACATTACATCTGTTCCAACCCATGTTCCTATATGTTTATTAGACAAAAGGCATTTGAGACTAAGAAAGCCACACTGAGAAGGTCCTTGTTTAGAGCTTGCAGTAAAATATTTTAAAGCTACCTTTATTTATTGGAATGGGCATATGTGACACATGTGGATGTGGGGGTCAAAGGACAACTTCTAGGACTTGGTTCTTGTATCCTATCACGTGGGTCACAGGGACTGAAGTCAGGTCCTCAGACTC